AAAAAAAAAAAAAAAAAAAAAAAAAAAAAAAAGAAAAGGGAGAGGGGAGGGAATGGGAGATAACTAAAACATAGAATATTTAAATTATAAGAACAGAAAAGTGAAAGCGTCATAAAAATGTTATCAAAAGGATAGTTTTCTGTTTTATAGCTAAAACCTAACATTGTGTACCTACTTTTTTATTATACAAAGTGATACAAGGCTAAGTCATAATAATGTGAATCAATAACTCATTAGCACTTATAAATGCAGCTACCAAGGAACATATTTTAATTTCCTAGCAAAGAATTGGTGTAATCAATTAACAAAGCCCAAAGTGAAGCAAATGCATGCTTTGTGTGTCCCTCGTGATGATATAAGCTAAAAGAAGCCTTGTCAATTGAGTTGGGTGTATCACCTAAGGTGGGAAGATAACCTGATGCCATTATTCCAAACCAAGTGAACACACAGGCACAGAAAGAGAAAGAGATCAAAGCATGAGATGCTCAGCTTTGCACCAAAGTCACTGAGGAAATAGATCATCTCTAGGTATTTTTCAGGATGACTTAATGGAGGTGAATGAGACACAAGGACAGAAGGAAAGCAGAATATGAAATAAGAATTGCTCTACATAGTGCTCTGGAAAGACACAAGGGTACCTGAGACTGTATAGATGTAAAATTTGATTTAAGAAGACAGATAACTTCAAATTTGGCATGCTCTCCTTCCTCCAGATTTGGCATGAGTTAAGATTGAAATGAGTAGTTAAAATGAGCCAATGGTTCAGTTTGCCATTGCATCCAGTATATGTTGGTTTCCTGACATAATGGTCACACCTCAATGCATTTCCTTAGCAGTGGCTGAGTGATGACATGTTCTGGTTCCATGTCAAATTCAGCAGTCTCCTTATACCCTGAGGACCCCTAAAGAGACTAAATGCTCCTCCAAGTGAGAGTCAAGCATCAGTAGAAAAAAGAAAACAAGCAAACAAAAACCAAAATAATGAGATTAAAACACACAGAGAAGACAGACTTAGAAATAAAGAATGAATGAGAAGAAAAAGAAGATGTAAAGTGAGACGTAAGTTGGAAAAGGGGGTACTCCTTCCTTCATTTTAGACTCTACTACTTGGAGCCTGGCAAGCCTTGAGCATGACTAGAAAAGCCCCTTCCATACTTCTTGCCATATCTAATTGATATAATTGCCTCCTTCAAGGGACAGGCTAATTTACACCAACACTTTACTAAGTCATTATTAGAGAAAAACGTCTAAAAATCCCTGACTTACCAGGGTGTTAACATGTGTAAAATTCAGATTACAGCCTGGCTAAACAGTCAAGGTCTTCCATAGAGACTGTCTCTTGGCACGGCAGACCACTTGCCGCGTTGCTTTTTCTGTTTGACCCATATTCCTACACCTTGGGTTGTAGATCATTTTTGAAAGATTGCAAGTTAATTGCCTCTAAGTAATAGGCTGGTTAGTGGATATGCTATATTAACTTTTGAAGCTTTTTAACTCCACTTCCTATCCAGCCTGATTTCATTTTCAGACTTCCGTGATTGTTGAGATTGGATTTATCAGCCTCCTCTCCATTTGGGCAGCAGCCCATACCACACCGGTCTTGGGCTGGTCCACACCGGAATGGAAACTTCTCAATGGATAAGCAAGTGCCTTAGCATCCACAAGGCCTGGTGCGGCGCCTAACACATAGTTGGTGCTCAACAACTATGGAAGAAGCAAATGAATGGACACGTTACCCACTTTTAGAAATGACAGAATGATATTAAAAGTGCTGATAGTTAATGAGGCTATAACAAGATTGTGTGCCAACTGAAAGTGGAGAAACTGATTGAAGCACATCAAAATTAAATTTTTCTTAAACCCAGGAAGCAGCATTTAGGATACTCAACACAAAATTCATATTTTGCACCAGTCTGCCTCAAAGTTAGTAACAGTTTTTAAAAAGAATACGTATAGTATTTTGTCCAATGATCAAATCCCATACCATTACAACTCTGCTGCTGAGCATTTACAATTTCTTCTTTGTAATATCTGCTACTCCTTCTCTCCTTCCATCTTGTCAAAACCATCAAGAAACATTTATCCACAAGTGGCAAGTGCTTTAAATGATGGCCTCCTGTGTTTTCCCAAGCTGGTTGTTTTCTCAAATCTCCTTCACACAAGTGGCCAACCTAGGTTAGAAAACTCACTCACATAAATTTTCACGAGGACAAATATCCATCCACTGTTTCTCCTTCTTTACCATGGGAAGAGAAAAAGATACAGGTATTCACCCAAGGGGCATTTTTTTTTCTTTTTTTTATGATGTAAACATAATACAAACTCTTCTGAGTGAGAATATCTGCTTTCTATCTGACTACATCCTTGCATACAAATCCCTTGCAAATTTTTCAAATTTCAAGGTTCATTAATTTAATTGAATCTGTTCCTAGTTTTTAATTAAATCTGCATTTCTCCTAGTAATCTTCAGAAAAAAGATAGAAGCCACATTATCATATTGGAAAGAACAGGATCATAAAGCAAAACAGACACGAAAAGGAACTAACTACAAAATCACAAGGCATGTTTCATATAAATTTATTTTTGTACCAAAAAAATTAACATTCAAAGGCGAAGTTTTTATTGTACAGTATAAAATAATTTCCACTAAATTTTTTAAATGGATTTTTTTGCTGATAAACCATTAGTACATTTTCTATTTTTAAAAAATTTACAATTTGCAGCACTTGTAGAAAAGGACACCTGTTCAACAATTGTATAAATACTCCTGACAGATTTCAGTAGCCTATTATGTATCCTTTTTGGTAATGTCAGCTCTCTAAAGTCAATTAGTTTCTAAATTTGAAAGGCACCTGGTGGCCAACATCGTGCTTGCTTTTCAAGGCATCTGTTTTAATGTTTTTTTGCAGAGGCTTGACAAATCTGAAAATCTATTAAGTTAAAAAGAATGAAGAAATATACTACATTTGGTATTAGGAAACAGTATTTCCTTCCTTAGCTGCAATTTTCCCTAGGGGATTTACAAAGTGCACCAGTTAAATATGTCTGTACATTTAAAACATTAAATATGTTAACAGTGAGACATTATTAAATACTTTGAATCAAATACTATAGCACAAATATAATTTACAATACTTTGCAAAGAAAACATTACATCTGAAATATAAATTTAGATATTATATAAAAATACATATATTTTCTCTCCTCGTTGGAAAAAGTATTTGTTTGCAGGTTCTAGCATGATGTAACAACTCAAAAGAACTTAACGCTTTAAAGGTCATTTGTTTGCAATACAATGATACCCTCCATTTGATGTGCGCAGTGACATATAATTATGGCTTGGATCCAGAGAATTAACCCCTCTGATGGCCCAGACACAGATTTTTATAAGGGCAATCATACTTGCTCCAATCTGGTTTAATTCTAGGAATTCATTACAAAACTGTAAAACCATTGTTATATACCATGAGTCCAACATCTCTCATTGATTGTAAATATGCATGTTCTCAACAAGCTCAAGAGTATGGATGAATTTTGTACCATCATGGGACATGCCTCTTAGTAGTCTTAAACACCTATATACATCTTCCTTGGCTTGTTTAAAACAAAATTTCCAAACATCTAGGAAATACATGACAAGGGTCTCAATCTATATCGCGAACTTTAAAAGCCCCAAAGTACGTTGCGTCTTGATCTGGATCCAGCAGTGAAGGATTGGATACCTCAATGCTTATTTCTTCACCAGATCGGAGTTTAAAAAATCCGCCAACATTTATGGAATAAAAATGGAATTCAGAATCCCCTGACCAGTATTTAGTGCTTCCTCCTTTCATCAGCGTATGAGAACTTGGAATTTTTACGCTGGTTTTTGTGACATACACCATTAGCTGAAGATATTTTGTAGCTAAGCCTCCTGATGTTTCGTGATGTCGAAAGCAAATGTTGGCATAAAGGTAATAAAAGCCATCTTGGTTAACCATTAGTTTTCCATTGCTCAAAGTCATATTGGAGATCTTGGCCCAACCCCGGTCATGGTACCAAGAGGAGAGACTCACTTTATGGGAACCTGTGGAGAAGAAAGGCACATGATTTAAAATTCACTCCTGCAATGAGAAGAGTATTCTCACAATTCCACGAGGTTGGGGAAAAATAGCATGATAGTCCTTTTTCCAATGGATAATAACTTCTTGAAGTTTACTTTCTATACATTCAGATGTATTTACTGTGAGGTACATTTGTAGGTACAAAGACAAAAACACACTCTTTCTGCTCTTCAGGAAGCTACAGCAGACTAGGGATCAAACAAAAAGCAAAGAGTACTGAAAAGACTGGTGCACATAATTGCTTTGGGAATTCAAAGGAGAGAGAGATTATTTCCACCTGGAGAGACCAAAAATGACTTTGTTATGTTGCTATTAAGCCAGAGAGCTTCAAAAAAGGAATCAGATTCAGCCACACAGACAGAAGCAGAAAGGTCATTCTACGTCGAAGGCAAATTAGCCAAAGCCAAATGAAACAAGAAAGCCAGAAACTAATATAGGAAGAGACTTTCCATGCTTCATATATTTCAACTTTCCCTTTTGTTTCATGGAGGGGAAAATGTAGGAGATGAAAATCTGGGTCAAAGTAACTTTGGGCAAATGGCCAACCTCCTAAGTTCTATTTTTATCACTATTCACTCCATAGCTCATATGTGCCCAGGTTCATACAGTTGAAAAACTATCTTCAGAGAAGTTCAAAAAAGAAAATATTCTAGGCACTGCATTCTCCATCTTAACAGCTTCACACAATCCACTGTGACCAAAGTACAAAAAGAAAATCCTTCCCAAATGACCAAATTTTCATTAGCTCCTTCTCATTCCTAAAATGAGGTCACAGCTAATCCTCATACCAATGCTTCTGGAGCACTAAAAGTTTCTAAAGGATATTCTAAATCTGCCATATGTTCAGCGCTTTTCATACTTCAGGTCTTTAGTGTATTTTATTAGATCTTTAAAAACTGATAACAAAGGACTGGCAATATAGCTCAGTGGTATAGTGCTTGCCTAATACCAGGGGTACCTCAGTTCATGAACTTTATTCTTTCTGTGATTCTGGTTGCAAAGTGAGTTGGGTGAAACGTGAATCAAATTCAATCATTAGGTTCAATGTTGATCTTATGAAGAAATTTGATTCAGTTCTCATCCAGTTCTGTTTGTGATCAGAATCATGAAAAGAATTGAGTTCATGAGGCCCTGGGTTCAATCCATAGTACCACCAGGAGACACACACACACACACACACACACACACACACACACACACACACACACGAAAAAGACAACATGATACTACAAGACTCTATTCAGCACATCATCACTCCAGAAGGCTAAACAGTCACCTATCCAGGGACAAAGCTAATGAAATTAAAGATATTTCCTATCTCAACTTGCATGTTGCTCCTTCTTACTCTACTGCTGGGTGGCAGTCGATCCTTCATTTCATTCAATTAATCCTCTTACCATTATATTTTAACAGGAAGAAGCATAATTACTAAAATGAAGTCTACCCTTTAAATGGGATGGATCTGTTCATGTTAGAGCAACATATGGCCAGTGCAGGTCAGAAAGGGATACAAAAGGGAGAGGGGAGAACACAGGAAAATCAGAAATAAGCCTATAAAACGTAACATTTCTATTTTTGTATGTTGATATAACATGGCTGACATTCAGTAACAAGAAAATCTATACAACTTCAGAAGAGCCAGGCTCTGTGAGGGGAAAGAAGAGGGAACAAAGAGGACCTGTGTCAAATTTCAACGCTCCGAAAAAAGGGGCAGCATTGCTGATGAGGGAAACTCTGATGGGGTGAACTGCCCATGGCACCCATAGGAGAGTAGTGGGAGAGCTAAAGAATGTGACTAGAGGGTGCGTAAGTAAATAATAGTGCCCAAAAAGACAAGGAAAATATGCTGCGATCAGGCTGAAGGAGCCTATGTGGCAACAGGGTTCCCATCACCAATGAGCTGTGCTGCCGGCCTCTTACGCAGCCCTCCGCAGTCTCCCTCACCCTGTGCTTTGGTCCCTGCTTTAGATATCAGAGAAGAGGCCCTGATAATTTATCTTGAGCATCTCCCTAAAGACAGCCATATATTCTGTCCCCACAAAATAGTTCTCAATGCATTTTATTCAAAAAGCTGTGAAAATGCACAAAGTAACTGTCTGGGTAAAGCATGTTCTTCTTTGCTAGGTGTAGATTAACATAAAATAGAGCCCCAGAAAGAAAATGCAGTATTAAAGCCCCCTCCCTCTGAAGCATCCAATACTGGTCACCACTGGAGATCACCGGGCTCAAGAGATCACTGGGCCGATTTTATTTTCTTAAACAGAAGCATACACTAACTTATTTCCCAATAACTGTCGGGAAATAACCAGGAGTTTTGCCTTGTTCTTTTGGCAATGATTTGATTCTAGGTGCCTGCAGAGAGAGCTTTATAACTAAAACATGCTTGCTATTGCCAAACAGACTTTGGCACACAGTAATGCAATATTTATCGTGTGCCATTTAAAGTGAACTGAAAAAATAAATGTAGGGTACACTCATAGCACACAGCAGATGCATCAGTATTAATTTGATTGCCTTTGCTAACATGCAAAAGTTTTCCACTCAGAGAAAATGAGTATAGCTCTGCCATAAGGCACACACAGACCAAGAGAGAAAATTTGTTTATGAAGCAAATATCTGGGATAGGATAGTTAATTTAGATAACTCTTCAAAAGCCCAAGAGTTGGTTTCTCAATTTACATGTTTTTAATCAGAAAAAAAAAATCCTCCACAGCCCATGATGATAATGGTTCCAAAATCATTTACTAACACTTGAACTATTTTTAACTCAAAAAAAGAAACTTGCCAGGGCCAGGCGTTTAACTCTGTGGTTCTGCAGCCTGCCTTGCAAGCCAAAGGACCTGAGTTTGATCCCGGTACCCGAAGGAAAAAAAAAGAAAAGAAAGAAACTTGTAAAATAAAGGGGAATATGTATGGTCATTTAATGAAGCTTAAATAACAATAATAAATCTCACTGTCTGAGTGCTTGCCATAAGCCACTTTTAATACAAGAACGTTAGTATGTGACCTGTCTTAATCGTCACTGCTACCACACAGGTAGGAACTATCACCATGCTCCTTTTAGACAGTGTAAAACAGAAGCACAGATTCCAGTAATCTGTACAAGATCACAGAGTCACAAAGTAGTATAGTGGCAGTCAGATTGTAGAGCCCCTGCCTTTAGACACTACACTAATCTACTTCTTACAGGAAAAGAGAATATAAAAGCTTTAAATTATCTCCCTCCGAAAAAGCCAATTTACTCAACACACCTACTGCTTGTAGGGTAATGGATAGCATACACAGCTTAGATTTGGGAATTAACTAGCCTGAAATTCAACTTGTGATAATGCTACCACTACAACCTTGAACAAATGATAAACTGTAGGAACCTTTGTTTCCCCATTTGCAAAATGTGCATAGCTACCTAGAGATAATGAATTCAGAGCAAAATGCCTAATCCATAGTAGACATTCAATAAGTGGCATTCTAATGATAATAATGTTCAGTCATCACTCTGTCCTAAATATTTGTTATAACTTTTGGACCCTCACCTAGCCCAGGTGATAACCAGCAGGGCTAACTAATGTAGCACCTGATACATGAAGATGACTACAGTCCCAGAGCTCTGTGTTTCCTTATTCTCAAAAGATAATCAAGTCTCTACTGAACTAAACCTTTACCCACAGGAGATGATAAGCTGCTGGAGAAGAGGGAGGATGTCTCATTTTCCAGAGGACTACTGCCTTTTAAAGATCATTCTGGGGCCAGGGATTTAGCTCAGTGGTTCTACCACCTGCCTCGCAAGTGCAAGGTCCCAAGTTCAATCCCCGATTCAAAAAAAAAAAAAAATTCTGCTGAGCCTCTACCTGGCATTTAGCAGGAGGTGGCTTAGTATCTGACTACCTAGATAAACTCATCCTCCTCAAAGGTCAGCAGTGGGAAATGTCCACATTTGTGTGAGTAAAAGTATATGAGCTCAACAAAGGATTGTCCTTCCCCATTGTGTTCCCCTAACCGGCAGTCATTTAAAATAAGCACCCACTCTGTTGATCTGAAAATGAATTTAGTGTCTTCAAGATTGAGAATTACTGTTTCCAAGATGTGCATCTACTAAAGATGATCCTTCTTCTTCTGGTTTAGATGTAAGAGCTCTCAAAAATTTCAGTAACAGGCTGAAAATAGTTTTGAGTTTTTAAATGAACTGCTAAGTGACTTTTGAAATATTTTGGAGGCTAGTTACAAATAGGACTCACCTGATGGCATGTTGGTGGCATTAATAGTGAGATGAGCAAAAGGTTGAACTTCCAGTTTGCCTCTCTTGGCCAGATCAAACCATGAACTTTCCACTGTAGCTAGAAACAAGAGGCAAACCAAATTAGCCCAAAGACTTGGAACCCATGGGATTTCAAATATTCATGCAGATTCATTATTACCTTTCTCTGCTCGGATGTGTTGTGACCCAACAATATGTTGTAATTCCTGAAATAAAAAGGAGAAATAATTTCATAATTTCATTTATAAAGACATTTCTCCATAAAGCAGCAAGAATATTTAGGACTCTTAGGTAGTAAATTATTACTTTCCCTGCAAAATATGCCATAAGTGAAGAGTCAGTGAAATTCCTGGATGTTCTAGTCAGCTATCAAAGGAAGTTCACCCCAAAGAATTGGGTGTTGATGTGCTTAAAAAGTGAACCACAAGGCCAGAGATTTAGCTCAGTAGTGCTGCCGCCTGCCTTACAAGCACAAGGTCTCAAGTTCGATCCCTGGTACCAAAAAAAGAATAGAAAAAAAGGAAAAGCAGAAAAAGTCAACCACATACATACTATAAAATAAACCCCTTGGACAATCAGAGAAAATAAAAGACTAAGCAAATTATGAAACACGAAATGACTGAATATAATTAAAACTTTGTAGCAGGTACACAAATGGAGATGAAGTTAACTGGGAAAGTAACAATTAGACAGAATATATGGCTCTCCTAAATCTTCAGGGAGGTAGTTTTTATGTCTCTCTCATTAGTGAATTCTGTTATAACACTGAAGCTCAGCCCAGGGGAAGGAGAATGATGCTTAGCTTCCCAGTGGCTAATTTTTTTACTTTAAAGTCACAGTGTATTTAAAGTACTATATGGGAGTCTAAGAGCTTTTAGAGTACCAATAATTAACTTAAAATATTGCTGCAAATAGAGGTCTAAAAGCACAAGCCAGAAAAAGAATGAACATGAGTACATAGAGTGTAGGTAATTGCATCTCTCAATTTGAGCCTGGAGATGAAGGCTCCAAAAGGTACCACACCCAGAAATTATCTGACATTAAGTGAACCATCACGAGATGTAATAAAGTGGAGTGGCTGAAAGCTCAGGGTTTCACCTTGGTTCAAATTCTTGCATAAACCCAGAATATTAACAGCACTTCTATCAGAGGGTGGTTAAGAAGATTAAATAAGATAATGCAGGTAGGCACTTAGCTGAGTGCCCAGTAAATTCAGGTATCTAGATACTAGAAACACTGGAAAGTGTATTAATTTCTCTGTTACTAAGACAACCAAACATTTGTGCTAACCATCCACCCCATGGTGTTTAAAATATAGACCATATAGCTTAAGTTCTCTGAGTGCCTAGAGAGGAGAGCTATGAAATCAATTAGACAGACAGACAGATGGACAGATGGACAGATAGATGTAGATAGATATAACATATAATTTCAACCATTAAGAGCTTGAAAGGTTCTAGAGATAATATTTGGGGTTTTTTTTCTGCCTTTAAAACTCACAAGAGAGATGAGATTCTACTCTGTTTTTAATGACCCTTGGAGGACACAGAACAGCTGTCTGCCCTTAACTTTTCCAAAGTGCTAAAGTCACAATGTGGCTAACTTCTCAAGAAACCTTAGGGACTCATCTGAAGTCACCTTCTGCCCTGCCCAGACCTAGAGCACTGAACAGCCCTGGCAGAAACATTCGATGGGTATTCTAGGCAAATCATGGTCCCTTTTGTACTGATCAATGCCTTCCTTGGTCCTTCCAGGCTTCATTCTCTTCCCCTCTCCTGCTCACATCCAATCTTCCAAGTGTTTTTTCAAGACCTTTGGATTCTTGATGGTGTCCCAATTTCTAAAACTTCCCAGTTTGGGTTCCCCTGATATATATGTGTGTGTGTGTGTGTGTGTGTGTGTGTGTGTGTGTGTGTGTGTGTGTGTATATATGTATGTATAATTTGTATATATACATATATATTGTATATATATAGTGTAATTTTATGTTTATATATATATACAATTTATCTTAATCCATTGTGTTTATATCATGACACATTTATATGTACAAAATATATCTTTACCTGATTACTAGCACTCAAAGCTTGGAATAGGAACCTTGGAGGCAGTAATTCAACAATTTGAAGCTAACTTCTCATTTTCTCTGCAACTCTTAATCTGTCTCACCATCAGAGGAGAGAGGGCAGAGTGGAGAAGGAAGCACAGCTAAGTGTGGCATCTGCTTACAAATGCCCATTTGATGATTTTCTATACAAACACCCTTATTATCTAGAAAAGCAAGGAAAGTGCTTTTGTCCCTCATCAGTGATTCTCAAACCTGAAGGTGCATGATAACTTCCAGGAGGGCCACACCAGAATTTCTGATCCCACAGATCTGAGCTGGGACCCAAGAATTGCATTTTTAACAGGTAAACTGGTGCTGCTGGCCTGGGACCTCATTTAAGAATGTCAGTTCCTTTCGCATCTGCAAAGATTCGCAGATGGGTAAACGAAGGCATTATCTTGCAGACTGAGATGCAGGTCAAAGCAGCAGGAGGTTCCAGACACTATTAAATGGGCAGGGGAAGTCTGCTCACTTTCACTTGGGAGTGAACCTTGCCTGCCCATTTAATCAGTGGATTTGAGGTCAGAGCTGCCTGGGACCCATTCAGTTACAAGAAAATTTGATAAGTAGCACCTCTCAGAAGCACTTTCCGCTATTTTTTTTTTTTTTTTGTACCAGGGATCAAACTCTGGTCCTTGAACTTGCGAGGCAAGCGGTGGAACCACTGAGCTAAATTCCTGGCCCTTTCTCAGAAGCACTTTCAATGCCTTCTGTAAGGAAGGGGGAAAAAAGCATCAAGCTCTTGAATTAAATCTCCTATTAGGGACCATGACAAACACTCTCATGTTCTATCCCTCAAGTATCCAAGAACTGAAATTCCTCTCAGAAATTCTAAGGAAAGTTTCAGTGGAAAAAAACAACAAAAAACCTGACATTTTGTCTACAACCTCAGGTTACAAAAAAAACCAAAAAGTATTCCAATATGTGTATCTCTATCCCAACTTTCTGAATTCCAAAATCACCATTACATATATGAAATCATAAATATAACATTCTTCTAAGACTATCTTTTTAGGGTTTCCTTGGATTTGGGGACTATGAATGAAACTTTTGTGGGCAGAACTTGATGTACCACAGTAGGGAGCCTGACTGTACTTAAGGAGAAGCTTTGGGGTAGCATTGGTCCTATCCACAGCCAATTTATCTCAATGAGTTTGATATTTACTTGATATTTTTTAAAAGATGCTCCTGGGTGATTCTGATATGCAGCAGGTATTGAGAAACGTTACTGCTATTTGCCTGTGAATGTTGGTGACACCTCCATTTAGTCAAGTTTATTATATTCTTACAAGATATATTTCTATGCCATGTATTGAAAAGTAAATACCCTTTTATATTTGTAGTCAAGCAAGTGTTTTCCTTGTATCATCTTCCTTGACTCGTATAAGAATCACGGCCTGAGCAGCTCATTTTTCAGACTGAGAAATGGAGGCAGAGAGAGAACTCGGACTCACTCACACAACAAAGCTGGGACTTGCATCTCTGCCTTCCAGAGCTACCCACATCTTTATAAGGCACCATCATCAGATATGCTCTAAAACAATCCATGGTCTATCTCATAATTCTCAGAGTTGCTTCCCTCCCTGAAGAAGCAACTCTGAAAGGAGGCACACCTTGATAGGCCTCTGACTTCTAGGGAACGAGGGATCTGACAAAAAGAATTTAAACACCAGGAAATATTATCTCAGATTTCCCAGAGGCTTTGAGAAAAACAACCGGCTCAGAACTGGCTTATACACGCTTTGGGCTTCACTGCTGAATCCCCAAACTAAGGCCTACAGGCCCACAGAACAAGGAGTACTGCGCCTGCAAAGACTCTGCGGAGTCCACCGCGCTGAGCAGATCCATGCTGCTGTGCAGTTTCTTCTACAATCAGATACTTTGCTACGTCTACTGCGAGCACAGCTCTGACTTGAATGTCTTAATATTCTTCATTTTTGAGATTACAGAAACCCTTCTGAAAGGAGAACTCAATTTTCACACCAACTGACAATTCCATTTATTCCCTAAACTTCAAATTTACATTGATTTTCATCCACACTTGTCTTCTACCTCTCTCAATTTAATTAGAGCATTTAAAAATCTGTAGAGCTCTTTATCCCCAAATCTTATTATTTAGGCATTGCTTCTGGTTTCTTTGAATTCAGAAAGTTCTGATAATTTAATTTGGAGAAAATACTACAAAGAGCATCCTAACCCCTTTCTTCTAAACAAATTATTGAGATGAAAGAGGGCTTTAGATTTTTTTATATGTGTTTTTTCTTACTTTAAAGCAACTGTACATTAATAAAAACCAGTTAGTGAACTCTCTGGGTAAACACATAGTGCAGTCATATTACCTACACTACCAGAATGCCCAGATCTGCATAAGGAAGTGCAAGTGGCTTTGACACATCTCCCAGGAAACAGTCTGAAGCAGCAGCCAGAAGCAGTTTTCAGTAGGAGGAAGCTGAACAAAGGCACTCCCTACCTTCTTCTGGCTACCAGCCACTATGGAATTATCCAAGAGAACCTCATGGTCTGCCCCCAGGAAGATTAGAAATCTGCCTTCTCAAAAATACATCTATTTACCACCTGCCACATGCAAAGGGCCTCTTGGTTTTTATAAACTATGATCATTATCTACAATAAGTTACTAAGATAATTCACACAAATGAAGAATCTGCTTATGATCAAACTATAACGAGTAGCCTTTTCAGCACATTCATTTGCTTGTCCATAAGAATAATTTAGGCCTAAATTATAATAACTTCCTTTAACCCTTAGAAATAGGACAAAAAAGGAAAACTCAAGTGCTGGAGGCAGCCAAAGAAATCTCTGCCAAGTTTAGGATAAAATAAATGCTCTGACACACTGCCACCTAGTGGACATTGCCCCAAACCGACTCTCCTGGTAGATACCACCTCAACCAAGCTTTGTAGATTTGAAGCTGTCTAAAAACAACAGATGAGGAAGTTTCACAACATTTTAAAAACCTTTTTATTTTGGGGTCTTTCTATTTACACTGCACTAACTTCATCTTGGCTGCTGGGGTGTATTTGAACAGACAGGAAAACGACCAATATGATTTCTTCTTTTTTTAAATCTCAATTTCCATTT